ATGTCCAGAGGACCAGATTGAACTTTCTTGGATTTTTCTACCTGGATTATTGAGCATGCATCAGGATATGCTGTTATATATAGTGACTTCCAAAATTTTATGTGGAGCAAGAAGCTGCAAAAGTTAAATGGTAAATGGACTGTACCTATATAGCGCCTTTCTATCTTATTTCAAGATTCTCAAAGCGCTTTACACTACAGTCTGTGCCCTCATTTACCCATTCATACAGCACTCTACTAGATCTCTAAAAAGCTAATTGAACAAATCATTCTAAAGAGACTAATCAGTGCTTTAGATCACATTCATACACTGACGAGACACACATCAGAGGCAATGAGTGGTTCAGTGTATTGCCCAGGGACACTTCAGCATATGACTGCTGGTGGATTCGAACTCCCAACTCTCACATTGGAGGACAACTGCTCTAAATGCTCCCTAAACAGGTCTCTCTTGAAAATGAGTTATTGTGGCTCAATGAGACTAACCTGGATAAATAAAGGCTAAATGAAAAAAAAAAAAAAAAAATACTCAGCCACAGCCACCCAGTCAATTTTTATATCATACTATTCCATAGGTGTCACAACAGTTACATGTGAAGGGGACATGCCCTCTCACATTTAAAAGTATTCATTTGGAAACAACCCCCCCCCCCCCCCCACACACACACACACACACACACACGCACACATTTACCATGAAATATTAGTTCACCCAGAGGTGTTTCTATTTCTTTATGAACAAATCCATTTCACTTGATTAATAGGAGAATACTCAAACCACAATATGTCCACTCCGGGTTTTCCTGGTAACCTATAAACTCAACACACCACACCACATGCAGTGTTTCTCCTCCATCTTGACGTGACACTCATATCTGAGGGTGTTTTTTTGTCAGCGGGGCAGGGGTAGGAGGGGGAGACACATCTGTATTGCGCGCTAGCTTAGCGCTACATTAGTGCCAGCAGTTGTCGACCAAGGAAGGGGTGGGTGGGGGAGTGGGGGGAGCATGCTCTATTCACACAAGGAGAGCTGTTGGTCAGACTGCTAGTAGTGCCATGCTCTCTAAAGTACTTATTGAATCAAGTGTTTATATATGTAGGTAAAAAGATGACCTTTCCGCTCTAACCCTGTCAGAAAAACAGAGTCACTAATCTGGGCGTGATAATGGATCCTTCCCTGAAGCTTAATCATGCTTCTTCCAACTGAGGCGGCTGTCTAAACTGAAGCCCATATTGTCCAAAAATAACCTGGAGACAGTAATACATGCATTCATTACATCTAGGCTTGATTACTGCAATTCACTCCTGTTTGGTATCAGTCAGACCTCCATTGCACGACTACAACTGGTCCAGAATGCAGCAGCCCGATTTTTAACCAGTACAGGCAAAAGAGAGCACATTACACCAGTTTTGGCCTCACTGCACTGGTTACCAGTTCACTTTCGAATCCAGTTCAAAATACTAATGTATGTCTACAAATCACTGAACAGTGTCGCCACCCCCATCTCTCTGATTTGCTACAACCGTATGTCCCACCACGCTCCCTGAGGTCAGCGGACCAGTTGCTCCTCACAGTTCCAGGAACTCGTCTTAAGCGCAGAGGTGACAGGGCCTTCTCTGTAGCAGGACCAAGACTCTGGAACGAGTTACCTCTGCTTGTCAGACAGGCCCCCTCCCTCCCGGTTTTCAAGTCCCGTTTAAAAACTCACTACTATTCAGTAGCTTTCAACACCAGATGATCTGTGTTTTGATCTTGTATGCTCCACACTGGTTTGTTGTCATTATCTGCATCGTGTTTTATCTATATTCTGATTTACCTCAATTTGTATTTTGCTTTGTGTGTTACCTGTTGTTTTGTCTGTACAGCACTTTGGTTGGCCTTGTTGCTGTTTTAAGTGATTTATAAATAAAGTGGTATGGTATGGTATGAACCCATTAAATACACCAGAATGCAGAAAATGGTATCTACTTTATTCAAAAATTTCTGGGAGAGGACCCCCCACACCCAACACACACCAGTCCCCCCCCCCCCCCACACACACACACACACATTACAAATGCTTCTGATGCAATATAGCATTCTTATATGCAGTGCAAGTTTCTCACAAGTATATTGAGGAGTACCTTTTGTTTGGAGCCTTCCTTTAAAGTGATCCAGTCCTCTCCGTTTGAGCTGACGTCTACTTTGTAGGACTTGACAAAGTAAATCCTGTGCGTCTCCTGGGAAATGGCACCCTGGGTACCGATGGCTGAGACGAACCGCAAAAAACCAAGGTCCACCTTGAAGGGTATGCAAAAAGATGAAAGGTGAGTAAGAAAATATAGCATAAATGTGACTTTGACAGAAATAAATAAATCCAAATGAGCATGGGTAAATTGCTTCGCCTGTACTATTAAGGATGATCTGGATAATTAAAAGACAAATAAGCAGCTAAAACTACAGCTATTGTACTTGAAACACCTCTGGCCACAATCTCATCAGCAGCTACCTGGAATTTAATAAACAGTAGTGATATGATATTCTTGTTACTGAAAAAGATGTTGTATGACAAGTTAATTTCCTGAGACAGGAAAAAAGAGCTTATTGGATAAAAATGAACATTGAAGAGAGAAGGGTCTGCAATCATATTATCAAAATCCGCCGGGAGGAAAGAGGGATACAGGCTGAATATCAAATACCATGCCTGTAAAATATGCATGGCTTCATAGAGTAGCTATAAACTGCAGTACATAAAGACTCAACTACATTTTCACAAGAAAACATGCCAAAGGCAGCAGGGTCAGGGAGGCACATGAGTGAGTGCCTCTTCATTTATCTATTTTCATTTGATTTATGTGTGTTCAGCATTCCTGAATGATCCTTGTGGGTGGCTTGCATCTAACCTATCAAACACTGCTTTTTCAAAACAATGAAACCCAATAATGAACACACAAACACTTTTATAAGTAACTCTGGCTTTTATTTTTTCAATAACAAAAACAGCGTTTGGTCTTGCTTTAATTTTGTGTACAAATTGAAGCATACTTTGCCTGGTATTTTTTGTTTTCATTACAACTTTTGACTTTCCAACTGTTCCCACAAATCTAAAACAAACATCAAAAGATACATTAAAACATGTGGCCTGATTGGGAATATATACAATGCCAGACATCTTTTCAGAAGAATCAGATTCAGAATCAGAATAAACTTTATTGGCATTGCACCAAGATACTTTGTACATCGCAAACATGTACGTACAGTCGTCCGAAACATGGGTGGAGTGCACGAAGCTGCAACTATAAAAAGCGCGGCCCTCTTATTCTTATTCAGAATAATATTTTGCTTAGATGAGGAAAGGGAAGAAAACATGAGGAGAGACGGTATTAAAAAAGACCTCTCACACCGTGTCCTAGACAGGGCACAATTTGAGGCATCAAAAAAAACTACCACTGCAAAGCTGGTGGTAGTGTAGTGAAACAAGTAAGAAATCATAGCCCTTTTTGGAGCTTCATAGCAAAGATGTTTCTGACATAATCCTCAGTTTTTAGACCCATTGGCAGGCAGGCGAGCGTGGCAGGAGTTTAAAATAAAAATTATTTATTTTAAACAACAAAAACAAAAGACTGGCGTGGCAGCAAAACTTACAAAAAGGATCAGGCAGGCAAAAAGGACAGGTACAGATTCAGATGGAGACGGGTAATTGCACGGAAGAGGACTGAGTCGTTTGTGCATAACAGAACAATGACCGGACACTTGAATATTGAAGAGGAGAGGTTTAAGTAAGGCTGAGGGAGAGAGAGATGAAGAGTGCACCTGGACAGGTAGCTGATTAGGGACAGGTGTGAATGATTAAAGACTGGAGAGGCAGACTGAGGAGTGAGTGCAAAAATGCAAGAACAGAGACAAAACATAAGAATGACAAAATACAAGAAAACAGAAAAGTTATAGACATGGAAATACAAAGAAACAGACAAAGAAACAGACCACCATGTCAGTTTCATTGTTAAAAGATCATTTAAAAGTGGTGCGATGGCTCAGTTGGTAGAGATGTTGCCTCTCAGCAAGAAGGTCACTGGATCAAATCCCAGCCTGGGACCTTTCTGGGTGGAGGTTGCATGCTCTCTCCATGCATGCATGGGTTTTCTCCGGGTACTCCGGTTTCCACCCACAGACCAAAAACATATGTTAGACTGATTGGTAACTCTAAATTGCCCCTAGGTGAGACTGAGAGAATGAATGGTTGTTTGTCTCGTTTGCCTCTATGTGTCACTGTGGTGGACTGGAGACCCGTCCAGGGTGTCCCCTGCCTCTCTCACTGATAGCTGTACATTAGCACCAGTGACCCCCACGACTCAAAAAGGAAGACGCGGGTAAAAGATAATGGATGGCGTTTGATAAAAATATCTTGTATTCATCTTAATTAGTAAAAGAAGCCACACACAACGACAGAAGATTATTTAACTGAGTTTTAATTGCAAGCACAGATGGTCACAACAGGCTTACACAGATTTCATTGAATCCCGGTTGCAAATATCTGCCCCGGAGAGTGTGCGGGAAGTGTTTTTATAATGCTTATCAGTTCCTTTGAGCTCGTAGACTTGGACGCGACCTTGGCATACCTGCTGCACACGCTGTATCAAATCAGCTCCTCATTCAGCTCTCTCTGCTAACTCAAACACCTGTTAACGTTCTCAGCCATCCATCCATCCATCCATGATCTTTACCCGTTTATTCCATTTTGGGTCACGGGGGTCGCTGGTGCCCATGTCCAGCAATCACTGTGCGAGGGGCGGGGTACACCCTGGACGGGTCGCAAGTCCATCACAGGGCCACATAGAGACAAACGAGACAAACAACCATTCACTCTCTCACTCACACCTAGGGACAATTTAGAGTTACCAATCAGCCTAACATGCATGTTTTTGGACTGTGGGAGGAAACCGGAGTACCCGGAGAAAACCCACGCATGCACGGAGAGAACATGCAAACTCCACCCAGAAAGGACCCTGGACCGGGGTTTGAATCAAGGACCTGCTTGCTGAGAGGCAGCAGCTCTACCAGTTGCGCCACCGTGCTGCCCGTTCTCAGCCATAGTGGTTAAATACATCCATAATCCTTGACCAAAATTCCACTGACAGATCGATAGAAGATCATTATTAGTTCAAATGGGACATGAAATTTTTAAGTTTACATGCCTGAACTGGCATTTTGATATATTTTATAGTTATTACATAATGGCAGTTTAGGTTTGATAATTTTTGACAATATCCTGATGCATGTTCAATAATCCAGGTAGAAAAATCTAAAAATAGTGAAGTCTGGTCCTCTGGACATTCAAAAAACAAAATAAACTTTAAAAAAAAAAAGTAGAAATGTTTCGTCTTTCATCCGGATGAAAGATGAAACATTCCTACATTTTTTTTTTTTAGTTTGTTTTGATTTTTGAATGTCCAGAGGACCAGACTTCACTTTTTTACATTTTTGACACATTTTTTTTGCACAAAAGGCTCTAATTAAATATGATGATTTGAATCATGAGAATTACTGAGCTGACTAAACTTTACAAAATTTTCACAAACTTATTGTTTTCTAAAAAAATTACACTTCATTTACAATTTATGCATCAGAACATAATCATTTTCTCTTGCTTGGTACCTCTGGTTGAAATGAACTATGAGAATCCAAGATGCTCTTTAAAAGGATGCGAAGAAATTAAAGTTCACTGAGGAAGTTCAGCCTATTTGTTGCTCACTGCTATAGGATTTATGATCTTCCCTCAGTCCTCCCATGTGCAAAGTGTGCACATCCATACAATCATCTTCAGTCAAATTCAGTTGAATCAATTTTTCAATTCAATTCAATTTATTTATATAGCACCAAATCACAACAAAGTTGTCTCAGGGCACTTTACAGAAACATTCACATACGTAAAAGCCAATTAGTAAAGTTCTCTATCTAAGGAGGCCAGTAGACAAGTTGAATCTTGGCTTCGTTGCAGTCTCCCATCCTGAGCAAGCACAGTGGCAATGGTGGAAAGGAAAAACTCCCTTTTTAAAAGGAAGAAACCTCCTGCAGAACCCAGGCTCAGGACAAGCGGCCATCTGCTTTGATCGGCTGGTTTGAATCAGAGCTCCTTGTATACTCTAAGAAACAAAACCTCAGATTAACTTCTGTCAGCTGGTTCCACTGGTTGTTTAAACATAAAACATAATAATTCTATAAAGTTTTGTGCTCACCAAGTACTTCATAAATGACAATAATTTCAGAAGACTTGTAAGTCTCATAAAACACTATGAGCAAAACTGGTTTAAATTTGTTAACAGTAGCACCTCCGGGCTTTGAGAAAAATGCACGTTTCAATATGAAAAAGCAGCCTTGACCATCTCGACCGACCGACCGACAGACAGACAGACAGACAGACCGACAGACAGATAGATACATACATAAATGGATGGATGGATGACATACATAGATGGATGGATGGATGGATGGATGGATGGATGGATGGATGGATGGATGGATGGATGGATG